TATATATATATATATATATATATGGTGTGTAGGGTAGCGTTGAGGTGTATGTACATCTCAGCACCTCCCTATACACACCGATCTAAAGGCTGCTACTGCTGCAGATATCTCTTCTTGCTGTACAGGCAGGCGTGCATAGCTGCTGTTGTAGTTTTCTAGAGCAGCAGCAGCAACTAGCTGCTTGCTGCAGCATAGGCAGTAACACCTGCTGCAGCAGATGCAGCAAATGCAGCAGCAGGTGCAGCAGCAGGTGCTGTTGCACCTGCAGCAGCAGCCAATTCTGCTGCACGATATTCGCGCTTAGAAGAGAAGACCTCTGCTGCATGTACAGCTGGAGAGCGAAGTAGCTGCCTATACACCCGAAAAGAAACAGTAGTACAGAAAGAGTCTTAACCTCAAAAACCCCTTATTTTAAGTGTTCTTACTACTCCACACACACCTTAGGGTTTAGGGTTTAGGGTTTAGGGTTTGTGATGCGGCGCATGCAGTCTGCCGCTGAGAGGCAGCAGCAGTAGCAGCAGCAGCGCATCTCATCTTCTGCGTTGTTGCTTATTTGAGGTGTACGTACAGCTCAAATGCAAGTTAAAAATTAATATTGAAGAAACATTTTCACAGAAGGCTGCAGAAGCAGCAGCAGACCCTCTTGCTGCTCCTCCTCCGTAGGTAGCTGCTAGCAGCAGCAGCAGCAGCATTCTAATCCCTTATTAGCTAAACTACTAATTCTCCTTCTCTTCTTTATTCTTCTCTTCTTTTCAAGAAGGTTTTATAGAGCAGTTTGCTGCTCCAGGCCGTGCAGCAGCAGCAGCAGCAGCAACAGCAGCAAGGGAGTTGTTGAAGCAGCAGCTCTCTGTAGTGGCAGACTGCTGCGAGCTCTTCGGCTTTCTCTCCTTGCTGCAGCAGCGCAGCTGGTTATTTGCTGCTGCACGCTTGATCCTTGCTGCTGCAGCGGTTTCTGCTGCTGCTGCTGCTGCTGCTGCAGCTGGCGTGTGTGTTGCTGCTGCTGCTGTTCCTGCTGCAGCCCCCCTTGCTTCTCCGGAGCGATTTGAGCTGCCTAGACACCCCAACTGTGGCAGATTCTCCATAGGATTTCACACATCCCTCTCATCTTGAGCAGGAGCAGTGGACCACCAGCAGCAGCACCAGCAGCAGCAGCAGCAGCAGCAGCAGCAGCAGCAGCAGCAGCAGCAGCAAGATGGCGGATGCGGAGGTTCCTTTTGAGGAGGAGACTGGGGTGTCTGGGGAGGGAGTTGAGGGTGCAGGATCTGGTGCTGAGGACGGCGGGGAGTCTCCGGAGGAAGCAGCAGCAGAAGAAGCAGCAGCAGAAGAAGAAGCAGCAGAAGCAGCAGCAGAAGCAGAAGAAGAAGCAGAAGATGAGGAGAACGAAGCAGCAGCAGTAGAAGAAGCGTTAGGAGCTCCTCCTGTCCCTTCTGCTTTGGGTGTATCTCTAGGGGACGGCCCTGAGCTGGCTGAAGCAGCAGAAGTTGTTGTCGTAGCTACGAGTCTTCATTCAATTAAGAGACAGTTCTTCAGCAGCAAACGCGTGCAAAACTTCTTAGACTGCAAAGGCATCGTCTACTTCCTCATAGACCGCAACAGAGATGTCTCTTCAGCCAAGAGTACGCTCATTAACAATATATATATATATATATTTGTATATATATAAGTATATATATATATATGTTTATATATATGTATATTAATATGTATATATATATATATATTTATATGCTTTTATACATATACATATATATATATGTTTATATATGTATAGATGTTTATATATATATATATATACATGTATATATACGCATATATATATATATATATATGTATACATTCCTCTCGCTGTCTGTGGCTTCGTGTCTCTCTCGCTGTCTTTGTGTCTCTCTTTGTCTCTGTTTGTCTCCGTTAGTCTCTCTCTGTCTCTCTCTGTCTCTGTTTGTCTCTGTTTGTCTGTGTTTGTCTCTCTTTGCTTCTCTCTGTCTCTGTTTGTCTCTTTATTGCTTTCTCTGTTATTGTTGCAGGCTGTTTATTTGTTTATTATATCTGTTTGTATATTTACTTCTTTTGTTTGTTTATATGCAGCTATCCACTCATTTCTGTTTGTTTGTCTGTCTCTTTAATTCTATCTTTTGCTCTGTCTCTGTTTTATTTGTCTTTCTCTGTATCTGACTTTGTCTCTCTCTCTCTGTCTGTCTCCTCCCATCTGTCTCTGTCTCTGTCTCTGTCTCTGTTTCTGTCTCTGTCTCTGTTTCTCTCTCTCTGTCTCTCTCTCTCTGTCTCTCTGTCTCTCTGTCTCTCGCTGTCTCTCTCTCTCTCTCTCTCTCTCTCTCTC